GAGGGATCTGACCCAATGACTTATGGAACAATTCACAGAATACAGTATTGAATGCATGTGAGAAAGGAAGCTTCGAGGTTTACCAAAATTTATACAGTGTTGCTCTAAAGATCTGTTGTTTGCTGAGTGTGTTGTGTAATATCACTTAGGCAATAATAGAGTCATACAGCACAGAAACAGACCCTTCAGTCTAAATAAGCATTAACAATTTCTCTGCAAATTTGGTTGAACCTACTGGTCATTTCCTTTTAATTACTGCCTGGCGCATAGATACAGACACATTGATCACATTAGTCTATTTCTCAGACATTGTTCCTATGCTGTTCCAATTTGCTAACAAAAAAAAACTATTGGAGAGGAAGGAAGGGGGCAGATAATGACCTGCAGGGTATTTTTTATTGCAGCCAGAATATTGCCAAGTCTCTTCCGTGCTGACTGCTGTGTATACCCAACTGTGTATACCTTTCTGAAGAAGGGCCTAGGCCCAAAACGTCAGTTTTCCTGCTCCTCTGATGCTGCTTGGCCTGCTGTGTTCATCCTGCTCTACACCTTGTTATCTCAGATTCTCCAGCATCTGCAGTTCCTACTATCTCTATACCCAGGGTCAGCTGTTTGGTTAGGTCCAAAGTGAGGAAGATGTAAAGTGTAACTTCAGGCAGTAGTAGAGGTTGCACCAAGTTCATGTACAACAACTTAAAATGGAGAATTTGTGATACACTGTGTGCCATCAGTAGTTGAGTTGTAATCAACAATTCACATCACATTTAATGACCAGGTAATGATCATCTCTAACAAAAGAGAATCCAACCATCTCCTGTTGACATTCAGTGGTATTGCCACCATTGACTTCTTGGGGGTTACCCAAGGGTCTGGAGGCCAGACCAGGTAAGGGTGGCAGTTTCCTTCCATAAAGAGTATTAGTGAATCAGATGGGTTTTTCCCCAGCAATTGGAAAATGGATTCATGGTCATCATTAGACTCTTGATTCCAGATTTTTTTAAATTGAATGCAAATTCCACCATCTGCCATCGTGAGATCCGAACCCAGTCCCCAGAATACTACCTGCGTCTCTGGATTAACAGTCCAGTGATAATACCACTAGGCCATCATTTTCCCCTTAAACGTAAGTGCTGTGGGTATGCAAGCAAGTCAGGGCTAGTTATTTGGCAGTAAATACCTTGCCTTCTAACTGCCCAGAGCTTTTGCACCATATACAAGCAATTGTAAGTCAGGAGTAAGACCAATTTCTCCATTTGCCAATGCAGCTCCAACAACATTTACACTGACACCATCCAGAACCCTTGGTTGCCACCTCATCTCTCACCTTCAACATTTGCGCTCAGAGGCAGCAGTATAGGATGCTATCTATAGGATGCAGTGCAGCAACTTGTCATGGTTACTTTGGTAGCACCTTCAAACCTGTGACCTCTACGTGGACTGAAGGATCTGTTTTGGTGCTGTATGACTCTATGCCAGCAGATACCTAGGAGCACCAACACCAACGTCAACAAGTTTCACTCTAAGTTTCACTTCATCGTGGAAGTTGATCACCAATCCTTTACTGGATGGAAATTGTGGAACTCCCTCCCTAACGGTACTGTGGGTGCATCTACATCACATGGACTGCAGCCGTTCAAGGGATTGGCTCACCTATAATTTATTCAAATCTAATTGACACTTAAGGATGGCGACAAATGCTGGTTTTTGTCATTGCTGCCCAAATGCTATGAATAGTTTAGAAAAAAACGTCAATAACTTCATCCAGCAATGTGTCCTTGATATGAAGACCTTTTTATTGCATTACTTTGAAGTTAAAAGGAAAGTGTATCCGCCTAAATTTCCCAACCATAATCCTAACCGTGCAGCTCATTAAATGTTTTTTTAAAGGCAAATATATTCAACTGTGTCAAAAATTGATTAAATATTGTGAAGTAATATTGCAATGCATTAATATTCCCTTTTTTCAAAAGAGCAATATCTTTGCACTTGCTGCTTTGCTTCCCCGTTGTCTTTCTCAACTGCAAAATCGATGGTATTACCAACAGAAATCCAGTATTAAAACTGCACTTTTTTGAAAGGGCTCACACCATTTATGGTCTGGAAAAGGGATTGTGTTTCTAGTGTGATGTACTCCAGTCATTCCAATGCCTGCATAATGAAGAAAGTCTCAAGCATACTGACAGACATCACATAGTCACTTTTTTGCGATACCCAGGCATGGACATAGCTGTGTTAGGGAGATGGATAATTGGGCTGAAAGAGTCTCTCCACTGCATTCCCCAGGCTCGTGAACATTTTTTTCATCTTGCCCAATTAGCTGGACAAATACCCAGCAATTCTAGCTCAGGGGCGGCATGGTGACTCAGTGGTTGCCTCACAGTGCCAGAGACCTGGGTTTGATCCCACCCTTGCTGTGTGGGGTTTGCACATTCTTCCTCTATCTGTGTGGGTTTTCTCTGGGTGCTCTGGTTTCCTTCCACAGTCCAAAGATGTGCTAGGATTAGCTATGGGAGATGCAGGGTTGCAGAGATGGGGGAGTGGGATACTGTTCGGAGGGTCGGTGTGAACTCAATGGGTCAAATGGCCTGCTTCCACACTGCAGGGATTCTTTTGATTGATTCTATCTGAATGCTGTCAGGGGATTACATAATGAAGAGAGAACACAGTGTGGAGCTGGAGGAATGCAGCAGGCCAGGCAGCATCAGAGGAGCAGGAAAGCTGACGTTTCAGGTTGGGACCCTTCAGAAGATTTCTGAAGAAGGCTCCCAACCTGAAACATGGGCTTTCCTGCTTCTGTAATACTGCCTGGCCTGCTGTGTTCCTGCAGCTCCACACTGTGTTATCTCTGACTCCAGCATCAGCAGTTCTTGCATAATGAAGAGATTTTCATTGCTGTACCATTGGCATCGATGTTTTTGATGAACTGAATCCCAAACTCTACAACTTTCTCTTTCTTTGAACTGTTCCCCTCTGTTACCCCTTTCTCTCATTTTTTTTAAATGTCCTCCTAAAAACCTAGAATCAGTCCTCATACATAGTTTGTATTTTGTAATCCACCCTGATTTTGAAATGTTGGCATTTCTCCAGTGTGGCTGGGTCAAAATCCTGGAATTCCCTCAACCGCATTGTGAGTCTACCTATCACACATGGACTCTAGCAGTTCAAAAATATAGCTTACTGTCCCCTGCCTCAAGGGCAACTAGAGTATGGGCAATAAATGCTGGCCTGCCTGGCGATGCCCACACCCCATGAATGAATTTTTAAAAATTGCTTCAATGAAGCACTTTTCTTTTTCTTTTCTTGGGTGTTTTTTTGCATGGTGGAGAAAAGACAGCCAACAAATTTTAGTAATTTGTGCATACAGTCATGAAAAACTGAAGGAGAGAATTTGGTTCACAAAGCTAGCACTGGATCAATGAAAAAGCCATCCACTTTGTCCCATTCGCCTACTCTTCAGACCCGCAGGTAGAAAGTCATAAAGTCATCCAGCACAGAAACAGACCCTTTGGTCCAACTCTTCCAAATTTCCCAAACTAAACTAGCTCCATTTGCCTGCGTTTGGCCCATATCCCTCTAAACCTTTGTATTCAAGTACCTGTCCAAATATATTTCAAATGGTGCAACTGTATCTACATCTACCACTTCCTTTGGCAATTCATTCCACACACCAACCAATTTGTCCTCCTACTTGTTGGCTGTACCATCATGTTAACTTTCTGATATTTGTGTGCAAGATCACCCTAACCACCTGGACAATAACATACAATAATTTTTCACCATTTTAAACCCAAACATTCTGTATTTTTTTTCTCTTCTTTCTACAAACTTGAATCACATTTCAGCACATTCCTTTTTTTCCCAACTATTCATTTCTCTTTTGAAAGTTTTTTGAGTCCACGTTCAGCACCTTTTTTTTTTGCTAACACCTTCTGGATCATATCAAATAGTGGCTGATGGACCAAATTTCAAACTACTTGCTTGGTATGAGAAGCAAATATTTGAGCAGATTTTCCCTTCCTTTCAGAATCCCAGCATCAGAACCAGCAGATTGTTGACCCTGGGCAGTGTTTCCGCACAGCAGGAAGGGGCAGCGTGGGGAAACTGGACTTCAAAGGGATCGTAAAGAAGAACTGACATTCTCTGACTGTGTCCTTTTTCCAAAAGCTGTTATTAATAGAAGTATTATTTCCCGTTGTCAGTCAAACTGGCTTGACTAGAGTGTTGTGGTTTCATGAAACCACGAGTCCCTGAAACCCAACTCTCCAAAAGCCCACCAAGATGGGGTCTGAACCACAAGAAACTTTGAGAGCGGGGTGCATTTTCGATGCTGTCGTCTTGACAAAGCTGCACACATTGAGCTTAGAATCTGATTAAGCAATTCTCTGAACCTGCTGTGGAAAGGTGGGGGTGTGGGGTGGAGAAATTCCCAGGATTTCTCCATTGGTTATTTTTCACTCTGATCTTCCCTCTCTCTGACAACTAATGAACAATTTTATCTCCTGAATCAGAGTCATAGAGAGATACAGCACTGAAACAGACCCTTTGGTCCAACTCATCCATGCTGACCAGATATCTTAAATTAATCTTGTCCCATTTGCCAGCATTTGGCCCATATCCCTCAACCTTTCCTGTTTATGTACCCATCCAGATGTCTTTTAAATGTTGTAATTGTACCAGCCTCCACCATTTCCTCTGGCAGCTCATTCCATACACACACCACCCTCTGCATGGAAAAAGTTACCCGTTATTTGCCTTTTAAATCTTGCCCTCTCAGCTTAAACCTATGCCCTCTAGTTTTGGACTCCCCCACCTGGGGGAAAAGACCTTACCTATTCACCCTATCTGTACCCTCATGATTTTATAAACCTCTATAAGGTCACCCCTCAGCCTCTGACGCTCCAGGGAAAATAGCCCCAGCCTATTCAGTCTCTCCCTATAGCTCAAAGCCTCCAACCCTGGCTACAACCTTGTAAATCTTTTCTGAATCCTTGGAAATCTTTTCTGAACCCTTTCATGTTTAACAATATCTTCCTATAGCAGGGAGACCAGAATTGAGTGCAGTATTCCAAACGTGGACTAATCAACTTCCTGTAGAGCCATAATATGACAACCCGGCTCCTATAATCAATGCTTCTTTTGGAGTTTTGAAGAATGAAAGGTAATCTTATTGAGACATGGAAGGGATTGATGGGGTCAGTGAAAAGAGGCTGGTTACCAGGTCTTGGAAAGTCGAGTCATGGTCACAGAGCAAGGGGGTCAGCTTTATGGGAAGGCACTGAGGAGAAATGTATTCATTTTGAAACTTGTAAATCTTTTATTATTTGATATTCCAGTGGGCTGTGAATATTTCAGATCACGGTCAATTAAAACTTTTGGGCACCAAAGGAATTGGGATGGGGCAGGAATGTGAAATGGAGTTAGAAAATCAGCCGTGATCTTACTGGAAGGCAGAGCCAGCCTGAGAGGCTGAACAGCGTACTCCTGCTCCTATTTCTTATGTTCTTTGTTTTGTTTCACAGATGAGGAGAGGAAGAGTAAAAGCCCAAAGTTTGATTCAAGGAACTGTCTGGGTGAAAAAGGGGCTCTTGTGTCTGCCCTTGTTGAGCTGAATCGTCGTGCTAAGTTGGAGTTGCCTACATCATGGGAGTAATTGTGTACAGCAAGCAGTTTGACCAATTTGTGTGTGGCAGAATGTACAAGCCAGAGTTGGGGGTGGGTACTGTGGGATTGAGGCATCCCTTTCACCTCATCAGTGGTTACCTTTTTGGTTGGAATTGCTGCTGTCTGCGGATGCATTTCCTGTAACGTGTTGCAAGGGGACAGTCTTGCTTCATTCATCCAGTGGCAAGGAATAGGAGCAATGTTCAGTTTGTGAATGCGCTTGGAGGAATATTCAAATTATACACAGCTGCCAGGCAGATAAAGATTAACTGGTCCACTTTAAGCCTGCATCATCATCGTGAAGGCTGGAGCTGCTGTTGCCATCTGGGAGAAAGAGAAAAACGGGGAATCTTCACGCGGTAGAAGGTTAGAATGCATCTGGAAAATCCCACTCTTAATCCCCTTGGGCAATCAAACCCAGTCCAAGAGATCACCTGGAATTGTCTAACTGTTATCTATTAATCCACTTGCGTTCTGTGCGAGATTGATCCTTGCCTGAATAGGCTAGGTATTACCCAAATCCAAATCTAATATATGATTCACATATATAAGATGCCAGTGGTGTTAAAGTGGTTCAATCTATGAAATGTGAGGGCTGGTCACAGGATACAGGGCTGCTTTGGTATTTTGCACGACGAGATTAATTGATTTAATATATATTAGGCAGTCTTGGTTGGTCTGTTTTGCATGGAGTCCATATTGCACTGTCATTTGTAACTTTTACTTTGAGAGGGGTGGGTCAGTTAGTTCAGTTGGCTGGACAGCTGGTTTGCAACAGAGTGATGCCAACAGCATGGGTTCAATTCCTGTTCAGGCTGAGGTTATCATGAAGGACTGACCTTCTCAACCTCTCCCCTGGCCTGAGGTGTGGTGACCCTCTGGGTAAACCACCACCAGTTGTCTCCAAATAATAAGAGAGAAGCATGACAGCCCTTTACTTTGTGTAAGCCAGGGGTTACAAAATCATGTTCTGTCTAATATCCCTCCCTATATTTTCTTTTGTTGTAAAGCAATCAATGTTAAATAATACCTTTTTTTTTATAGAAGAGAAGAATACAAAATAGGGTTGAGAGTCAAGATTTTGGGGTCATGAGGTCACAGGCAGCAATGGCTCTGTCAAGTTTGGACAAAGTTACAATAGCAATGCTGTTGCTCTAATGGGCCCTACTCTCAGCATCTAACTGAGGGGTCTCAGCATCCTTTCAATCTTCATACTGGAGTTACATTGGGGAAGGAATTTGGAAGCTCTGCATTATAGTGTGGAATGCGGATTTGGAGTAATTCATAAGGAAATCTAGGAATGTGAATTACCACACTTTTCGTCTTCCTGGTGTCCCATTGGAAGCTGCTTGGCCTATCCTTGTCACCCCCTTCTTGCATCACCCCACTTCTGCACAGCAGCAGACCTACATTTGAGAACTTGCTGGTCTCCTGCAATGAAATTGAATCTCGCAAGTGATTCCTTGTTTCATGCCGGGGATTAGAACCATTCTCAAATGCAGGTGAGTAGCCTAATTGCACTTGGAGTAATGCACCAAGCCCTCACCTTCTGTGCTTGCTGAGCTACATTGCTTCATTGTCTACCAATGACTGGATTCTAAAATTCACTTACTTGCTTTCAAAGTTTGTTATTTTTTTGAAAATTCACTCATGGCATGGCATCACTGACACAGGTGGCCATGATTTCTGCTGTCTCAGCTTTAAACTCTGGAATTTCCACCCTAAAGCTCTCTGCACTCAGTAACTGTCTGCACCTGTAAAACCTACAATTTGAAGGAGTTTTTGTTCACCTGCTTCAATATCTCCAGATTGAGTCTGTTAAATTTGGTTTGATAACACTCCTGCGAAATGCCTTGGGGCATTTTATAACGTTGAAGGCACTATGTAATTGCAGGAAGTTGCTGGGGTTAGGTGCAAATAGCAGTGTCTAGACTCGGCCACTATTCTACCTATTGTCTGGCAGCAGTCAGAACTTTAATGTGTGGGTAAATGTGAATATGGTGTGTTATTTCTACTTTTTCCATTAATTTATTCACGGGGCATGAACACTGATGGCTGGACCAGCATTTATAACCCATTCCCTATTAGGCCTTGAGAAAGGGGTTGATGATCTGCCTTCTTGAACCACCTACTGTGCACATGCTGTAGGTAGATCCGCAATGCTGTAACAGGGAATTCCAGGATTTTGATCCAGTGACACTTAGAAATGACAATTCTGTTTCCAAGTCAGGATGGTGAGTGGCTTGGAGGGAAACTTGCTGGTAGTGCTGTTCCTGTGTGTATCTGCTGTCCTTGTGGGTTTGGAAGGTGATGCCTAAGGTGCTTTGGCGAATTTTTGCAGTGCATCTTGTAGATGGTGCGCATTGCTGCTACTGAGCATTGGTGTTGGAGGGAATGAATATTTGTGAATGTGGTGCCAGTCAAGCATTCAGCTTTGTCATGGATGATGTCAGGCTTCTAGAGCATTGTTGGAACTGCACTCATCCAGGCAAGTGAGAGCATTCTGTCTCACTCCTGACTTGTCTCCTGTAGTCGGTGGACAGGCTTTGGGGAAACAGGAGGTTAGCTTTTTGCTGCAGGATTCCTGGTCTCTGCCTTGCTCTTGTAGCCACTGCATTTACGTGGCTAGTCCATTCGAGTTTCTGGTCAATGGTAATGCACAAGATGTTGATAGTGAGCGATTCCGCAATGGCAATGCCATTGAATGTCAAGATGCATGGCACGGTTAATATTGGACCTATGGCAAAATTAGGCTGCTGGTTCATGTTTTGAGTGCTGTTCCATTAAAGTACTTCATGCCAGATCTAGCACCATTTGCAACTGGGGCAATGATAACTTTATAACAGTAGACTACATACTTTTGACCAGCTAAAGGGATTGGAGACAAATATTTTAAATTTCTTTGCTTCCATTAATTAGGGGCAGCACGGTGGCTCGGTGGTTAGCACTGCTGTCTCAGTGCCAGGGACCCGGGTTTGATTCCACCTTGGATGACTTTCGGTGTGGAGTTTTCACATTCTCCCTGTGTCTATGCAGGTTTGCTCTGGGTGCTTTGGTTTCCTCCCACAGTCCAAAGATGAACGGGTTAGGTAGATTGCCAAATGGTAAATTGCCCATAGTGTCCAGGGATGTATAGGTTAGATGTGTCAGCATGGGAAATACAGGGTTGCAGGGGCAGAATGGGTCTGGGTGAGGTGGTCTTGTTGGGCTGAATGGCCTGTTCCCACAGTCATTATGGTACTAATTAACCTGGAAATTTTTAGATTTCTTCTTTGTCTATCCTGGTAGTTACGTGGGATAGGAAGCATGTGTTTTGTGGTACAGAAGGCACTGGGTTGTATGACTGCTTTGTCCGTCTGTCTGCATGATAGTGGAGACCATTTTGTGTTTGTGTCTGATTCTAACGCTCAAATTCCACACTGCACTCTACCTTTCTCACTCCTTAACTCTGTTTGCTGCCAAATATTAACCTCAGCTAGTGATGATGTCAACAGCAGTCAAGAATCCAGTCTCTCATCTGTGAATAGTTAAAGGAATACTCCAGCAAAGGAGCTGAATGATTTTCAGACAAAAATGAGTTTGGACAATATCCTGCTTGGACAGATGGTAAACTCATGAAAAACCACCTCATCATGTTATGATCAGAAGAGATTTAACATTTGAAGGTAATGAGGAAAACCCACAAAGTGCTGGAAATCTGAGGGAATGCTGGATGCAGAAAAAGGAAGATCTTTCAGATGAATCTTTTGCTCCAAATGATTCAAATTGAACTTTTTCAAAATTTGCTTCTTAAATAAAAGCAGCCTAATTATATTTTCATGCAATGAACATGTGGACAATTTGGTAAAATTCTGTATGAATCTTATCCATGTAATGTGGTGATTGATGTGAGAGTCATACAGCATGGAAACAGACCCTTCAGCCCAACTTGTCCATGCCGGCTAGGTGTCTTAAACTAGTCCCATTTGCCTGTGTTGGCCCATATCCCTCTAAACCTTTGTATCCATGTATCTATCCAAATGTCTTTTAAATATTGTAATTGTACTCAGGTCTACCAATTCCTGTGGCAGCTCATTCCATATACACACCATCCTCTGTGAGGAAAATGTTGCCCCTCAGGTCCCTTTTAAATCTTTCCCCTCTCTGCTTAAACCTAAGTCCTCTAGTTTTGGATTCCCCTACCTTGGGGAAAAGACCTTGGCTATTCACATTATCTGTGTCCCTCATGATTTTATGAACCTCTATAAGATCACCCTTCAGCCTCCAATGCTCCAGGGAAAATAAGTCCCAGCCTATCCTTATAACTGAAACCCTCCAGACTCCTTAACATCCTTGTAAATCTTTTTTGCACTCTTTCCAGTTTAATAACATCCATACTATAGAAGGGTGACCAGAATTGTACAGAGCACTCCAAATGTGGACTTACCAATGTCTTGTACATCTGTAACATGATGTCCCCACTCCTGTACTCAATGCTCTGACCAATGAAGGCCAAACATGCCAAACACTACTTCCACCACCCTGTCTACCTGTGATGCCACTTTCAAGGAACTGCGTACCTGTATCCATAGGTCTCTCTGTTTGACAACACTCGCTGAGGCCCTACCATTAACTGTACAAGCCCTGTCCTGGTTTGTCTTACCAAAATGCAACATCTCTGTTATCTAAATTAAGCTCCATCTGCCATTCCTTGGTCCACCAGCCCAGTTGATCAAGATCCCATTGTACTCTTGGATAACCTTCTTCACTATCTACTACATTATCAATTTTAGTGTCATCCACAAACTTACTAACCATGCCTTTCATGTTCTCATCCAAATTATTTAAATAAATAACGAACAACAGTGGACCCAGCATTGATCCATGCGGCACAATGTCAGTCTGAACAACAACCCTCTACAACCACCCTCTCTTTCCTGCTGTCAAGCCAATTTTGTATCCAGTTGGCTAGCTCTCCATGGATCTCCACGATCTAACCTTACTAACCATTGTACCGTGCGGAACCTTGTTGAAGGCCTGCTAAAGTCCATGTAGACCACGTCTACAGCTCTGCCTTCATCAGTCTTGGTCACTCAGCTCTTCAAAAAAACTCAGTCAAGTTTGTGATACATGATTTCCCATTCACAAAGCCATGCTAACTATCGCTAATCAATACTTGCTTTTCCAAACATGTGTATGCATTAAAATCTCACCCACTCCTGTTTACCTGTAATTTGTGATTTATGGTATTTTCACTTGCTGAGGTGAGGTCGGAATGTTTTTGCTACTTTTTTAGTAACACGACTAAAGAGTGTTATCTAAGTACCGGTTGTGTTGTAATCCTACCTCAAATTCCCACATAACGTGCAGTGCAGACTTCCAAGCAC